AAAAAAATAAATAAATAAATAAGGAAAATAAACATTTTTTAGGTGACAAGAGCTCATTAGAGATATAGGGGACACCATCTGTGATAAGCCCGAAATACAGACCACGTGGTAAACACTAAAGTTGGAAATGGATCCTTTTAGGAAAACTCTTTTAAAGCTCTGCAGGCTCTGAAAGTTGCAACAATAAGAAATAGCTCATGAGACAATTGGAATTGGACATGGAAAAATATAACAAAGTTAAAAGTACAGGCCTTCTGTGTGTTACATGTTTGTGTGTTATATGTTTTGTGTATGTTATATGTTTGTGTGTCATGTCAAAGTACACTACGTCGACCTTAACAAACTGGACCAAAATACTAACGTGGGGGAATCGGCCTGTGATGTGACTGTGATGTGACTGTGATGTGACTGTGATATGTGAAATAAGGAGTGAAATGAGGAATGCTGAACGGAATCATGGAATAACAAATGTGTCTGTAATGTTTTAATGTGATCATGGAATAATTATTTTTTTGTCAACAGCATACGGTGTAAGTACTAGAGATTCAAAGATAACAAGCTTTATTGAACAGGTGTAAAAGTGAGAGTACTCTGGGATGAGTACTCGGAGATGAAATACCTCGCTGAAGATATTGGGAGTTCCTCCCTCTGCTGTTTGTCCTGACAGCGACACAGTCCAACCGCAGTGAGCTGTCGTTGGGTGAAGGACAACTTTGGTTGTAAACTCACATTTAGGGAAGTATAAAATTAGAAACATACATTTTGTTAAGCCTGTATCTTGCTACAGCCTCTGCCCTGATGTCAAACACCGTCTGTCAATGCAGTTATGTTTTGCCCAATTGGAAAAAGATTGACAAGCGAAAGTGGGCATTTTTTGTTTTTTTTTGTGTTCTGATATTTCTTTTTCAGATGAGAGATAAACTACCCCTGCTCCAGGGATGACAGTAGTATGGATCAGGAGGAAATGAGCCTCCACTTTGGCACAAAAGCCCACAATATGAATTGAGGACGATCCGGGAGAAAAGCAACTGGAGATGAACGGAACAGTCGGTACTTTTGCAGCCTCACTGAGGGCCACTGAGACCCACTGCTTACTTCTCAGCAAAACTCGATCCCGTGGCAGCAGGGTTGCCTCGCTGCCTGCGGGCTGTGGCTGCCGCTGAGAAAGCGGCCCTAGCATCACGTGACCTTGTGGGATACACTGAACTAACTTTGCTTGTGCCCCATGCTGTTTCCCTGATCCTGTTAGAGCAGAGGGCCTCTCGCCTTTCTGCGGCTCGTTGGCTGGGGTACAACACGGTGCTCTTTGAACTACGGTGAAGGGATGCACACAGCTGAACCCCTCCTCGCTGCTTCCCACGCCAGAGGAAGGGGAGGCACACTGCTGTATCGCCACAATAGAGCAGAGATGCACTCCCAGGCCAGACCTGAAAGAGGTGCCTCTGACTAATCCTGACTTGATTTTTTTTTATACAGACGGAGCGGCGTCACGTGACAACACTGGGAAGAACCGAGTCGGCTATGCTGTGTGTTCTGATTTTGATACTATAGACTCTGGTAGTTTGCCCCACTACCACTCAGCACAAACCGCTGAGCTGGTCGCGCCCACCGGGGCGTGTGAGCTGGCAGCGGGCAAAACTGTTAACATATTCTGTGATACGCGTTATGGTTTCTCTGTGGTGCACGACTGGGAAGCACTGTGGAAACACCGCAATTTTATGAAATCTGATGGTAAACCAATTCTTAATTCCACACAGGTTGAACGTCTGCTGAAAGCTGTAATGTTGCCCTTAGAGAGCGCTGTATGCAAATGCCAGGCCCACACTAATGCCACTGATCCCATCTCTGCAGGGAATCGGCGCGCGGACAAGGCAGCGGCATACGCACCTCTACACACACACACACACACTACCTCACTCAAGACGTTGATATTTTCTACTCCAGCAGAGACGCTGCTGTGAGAGGGGAATGGGGCTCAACGACGGCATGGTGTGTGTGGCTGGGACCAGACAGCAAACCGTGCCTACCACGGCATTTCTTCAGACAGTTTGCAATTTTAGCACATGGTCGAGACCATGCCTCAAAAGGAGGGATGATGTGTGATTTAATCACACAAAATTGGTATACAAAGGGGTTTACGGCATTTGCACAGAGATTCAGCCAAACATGCGCTATATGCCCCGCGCACAACCCAGGTAAGTCCCAAAAGTATCCAACAGGCTGCTCATCCTCCGCCCCTGCGCCCATTTCAACATGTCCAAAGGGACTTTGTTGAACTCACACCATGCCAAGGTAAGTAATACTGTCTGGTTCTGGCGGATCTCTGGTCCAAATGGACTGAAGTATTTGCAGGCATACACGCCACAAGCAACGCGGTGGTGAAAGCTCTGCTCACAAAAATTGTGCCCCGAGAAAAAATCTCTAGTGACACTGGCAGTCACTTTGTAGCAAAAGTCATTGAGGAAGTGGGTGAATTTCTGGGCATTGATATACGTAAACACTGCAGTTACGCCCCCTGGCCCGGAGGCGCGTGCGAGCGAGAGAATGGCACTCAAAGCTCTGCCGCTAGCCCTCATGTACATGCGCATGAGAGTCCCATTCGAAATCCTCTGTGCCAGACCACCCAACTTGGGCGAGGGACCCCCGAACAGAGATCTGCCAAGCACCTCTTTGTGTGATGACGACATGCTGTCCTATTGTAAGGAAATTAATGCACTTTTGTCCTCTATTTCTGCCCAGGTCAGGAGCGCCCTGCCACAGGCTGCGCAGGCGACTGGGTCCTGATGAAGGAAACGAGACGAAAGCATTGGCGGTCCAAGCGCTGGCTCGGCCCATTCCTCGCCCTCCTGGTGACGGACACTGCCGTTAAGGTCGCGGAGAGGACAACTTGGATCCACGCCAACCACTGTCGTGCGGGGCTGCCACTGAGGGCCATAGACGAGGACACCGAGGGCGCGGACGGACCAGGCCCATCCGCGGCTCCCTACGCTGAAGAAGTTGGCCGGCGTGCGGCCACCGTCGGTGAAGCAGGCCAACAACAACACCCAGAGATTCCCAGCGTTCCCGAGGCGACCCCCCTTTTGCCCAACTCCCCAGCCCCCGGACCCCAAGGCCTGGGAGCCATGAAGGCCCTGAGCGCTCTGCTCAGCCGCAGCAAGTATGCAGAGCTGCTGCTCATTCCAAAGATTTCTCCAGAGCCTGCTCCCTCTGGCCATAATGCAGATTGGAGCTCTGCTGGAGTGCCCCCTGGTGTCTCGTCTCCCGTGTGTCCGGAGGAGGTGGAGATGAGGGCTGCTCTACAGTTCCTGATGAGGCACATGGTGAAGCGTGCTGTCATGAGGTCTCCCATCAAACGAGCTTTGGGCCTGGCCGATCTGGAGCGTGCTCAAGCCATGGTCGCCACACCCCAAACCCCGAGCACTCTGCCCAACCGAGTGCTGAGGCCAAGGCTTCAACGCAAATAGAGTCTTGCCGCTCCAAGACCAAACATCGCCATGACCACTAACGCTCCACACACGCTCATAGGGAGCGGTGCCACTGACTGCGAGACGGCACTGCTCGTGAGTATTCCCGCGGAAAAGACTACCGAACGTAGACCGGCATGGGCCCTTGGACTGTTATGCTGGCCACACTGACACTACTTTCCGTGCTGACCGTGTTTATTATGTTAATATTGCCTTCTCTTATCGCTGTCCGGATCCATTGTGTTATTATAATGTGCTCTTTCTTTTATTGACAAGCATGTGTCTTTTCTTGTCCACTTTGGACAGCAATAATTTAAGTGTTTCAAGCTTGAAGGTGGTGTGATTACGATGCCTCTGGTATTTAACTGATTAATGCAAAAATGGTTTTTACATTATCACGGGAAAGGAGTGTGATGGCAAGCGACTAGTATTCATATCTCCCTGCTCCAGGAAGGAGCAACTCTGCCTGGTTCTATTCATATGTCCCTGCTTCAGGAAGGAACCGGGTCCCCCGACACCTACAGACAATGGCGTAAATCACTGTCTCACTCTCGCCCCCCTTTTGCCTCTTGCATATCTATCGGTCTGTATGTGTGCATTTTCTACATCCTGCTTCTCGTCACACCCTTGTGTCTTTCGCGTCTGCATCTGTATGACCTGCATTTTCTACCATTGTCTGTCTGTTCGCACCTACATCCCCAGGCGCCTCCTCACCGGTGGCCCCCCTCCCATTCTGTTGTGGGCGGGACTGTCTTTCGTGTGTGTCTGTATACAGGAAACTCGGAGCTCTGCTTCAGAGCTGGGACATGCTGCTTTTGAGTGGATGTGCTGGCCCTCCGCACTGTGCGTTAACAATAAACTTACGCTTTTGATCAGACAAAGGACCTTTGAGTTTTCTCCTTCATGGGGTATATAATTCTATAACAATATGTGTATGTGTATGTGTGTATGTACTGTATATGTGTGTGTATGTGTATATGTTTATGTATGTGATTGTGTATGTGTGTATGTGTATGTGTAAATGTGTATGTATATGTGTATGTGTAAATGTGTATGTATATGTGTATGTGTATGCATCAAACTGAACATTTGAATAAAGGACCTTTTTCTTCCTCCTTTTTGAAACGTAACAGGGACAAAGCAGAACGATCTTGTTTGAAAAAGATACAGAAATATCTCCCTTGGAACGAGAAAATAAAGTTCTTGAAATTGGACCAAATATCTTGGTCCCATTGGAGACCAAGACTTTTAGTCACAGTCAGAATGTGCTCAAGCTACGATAAAAAACACTAATTTCAAGCATTCATTTCGTCATTTTGTCATGTTTTTCAGAGCACTGTTGTTGAATCTCTAACTCTTCTTTCTGGATTCCAACTATCTGCAAAACTCTGTCAAACCCGTTTCTCCATTTCTCTCTTGGCATTTATCTGGTTAATGTAAAGAAGCACTTGTCACCTCCTCAGACCCTCCCACTTCAGAATCATTGAGAATCATTGAGAATCATTGAGAATCATTGCTCTTGCGCTCATCCCCGGCTCAGAGTCTGTCCCGGCCTTTCTCTGCTCCGTTCATTTCACCCTGAGGACACACTTCAATCCACTGCAGACATCCACTCCGGAGAGCAAAGGATCATGGGAAAATTCAGCGCCTGGACCGAGAGCTGCCCAGGGCTGCTAATAAGGTCGAAGCATACTTTAGCAGGGGCTGGGAGGATTCTGGCTGCTTTTTCTCCCATTTTGTCTCTTGTAGTGCACCGCGGTCTGTCGTCGGGTGTTGGAAATGTGATGCTTATGATGGAGAGTGGTGCAGGCCTCAAAAATTAGACAAAGGGCGTCATAGTTTGAAGATAATTGGAGTTTTGGGGCCCTGTCTATAAGCTAACGCAGCTTCCTTTGACTTCTCTTTTACGACACCCACAAACTTTAGACATTAGAATGTGTAGGACTTGTTTGACAATGAAGTTTTGTGACTAAAGAGAATTGATTGATTGTAATTAACCAAGTTTCCATTCTTCTCCATATTCTTCTTCTTCTGTTCCTTCTTCTTCTTCTGCTTCTGCTCCTGCGTCTTCTTCTTCTTCTTCATCATCTTCTTCTGCTTCTGCTTCTTTTGCTTCTGCTTCTGCGTCTTCTTCTTCTCCTTCCTCTTCTGCTTCTGCTTCTTGCGCTTCTTCTTCTTCTGCTTCTGCGTCTTCTTCTTCATCTTCTTCTGCTTCTTGTGCTTCTTCTTCTTCTTCTGCTTCTGCGTCTTCTTCTGCTTCTTCTTCTTCTCCTTCTTCTTCGTCTTCTGCTTCTTCTTCTTCTGCTCCTGCGTCTTCTTCTTCTCCTTCTTCTGCTTCTGCTTCTTCTTCTGCTTTTGTGTCTTCTTCTTCTTCTTCACTCTATAGTCCTTGAAGACCAAAGTACATACTAACAAAAGTTAAGTTAAGTTAAGTTCAAAACTGTTTTACACATTTCTCTGCCAAACCACGCTGCACCTCTTTGTTCATTTTTGTAGAATTAATTTACAACTCATAGAATAACCCTCTGTCTTTTCAGCACTTTGTCAGATTCCTGGGTCTCGATACTTCCCCGGTTCCTTCACAAACCCCCAGCTCCCTGAGGTCACATGTTCCGGACCCTCATGGGACGAGAGAGTGAGTCTCCGTGGGTGCTGAGTCCTTTATCAGGCGGCTGCAGTCCGTGGTCCAGAGACAGCCTGTTCCTCTGAGGGTCCTCGTCTCTGTCAGCGGCGGCCATTTTAACTCCACTGAGGGCCGGAAACACACCGTGACAGACTCCGACACAGACACAGGATCCAGCCAAGTTCGAGTCCGAATGGAAAGAGAGAGATTGGGACATGTTCAACAGGTTTATTTTAGTTAAAAAGGCAAAGGAAGAATTCAGTTTTTTATAGGTAGAGTTTGCATCACACATTCCAAAGACCCTACCATTGTTTTATGATTTTTTCTCATTAGTCATTGATTGTTTGGATAAGATTTTTCAGTTAAAGGTTATAGGTTATGTTCTTTTTCCGGGTGGATCAGAAAGACGATTGGTCCTTCTGATTGTCAGTTTTTCTGGTGATAAATTGCAACGTTTGTACTCGTTTGGAGAAATCTATTTAAAAACACCTCCAGTAAAAGTTATCTACGACTGTAATGTCTGACATCGTTGAAAGAAATGTGCTTTCTTGTAAAATGTTGTTGGTGCGGCTTATATACTGGTGTGGCTTATATACAGGTGCAGTTTATATACATGTGCAGTTTATATACAGGTGCGTCTTATATACAGGTGCGGTTTATATACAGGTGCGGCTCATATGTGGACATACTGTGCTTTCTTGTAAAATGTTGCCGGTGCGGCTTATATACAGGTGTGGCTTATATCCAAGTGTGGCTTATATACAGGTGCTGCCTATATGTGGACAAAATATTCTTTCTTTTAAAATGTTGTTGGTGCAGCTTATATATTCAGACAGTTTAACTCTGTCTAACGACCTGAAATGGGTTAAAAACACTGATCGAGTCGTTAAGAAAGCTCGTCAGCGTCTCTATTTCTTGCGAAAACTTAGAGAATTTACGACTAACTCTAAGATTCTGCTTAACTTTTATCGCTGCACCATTGCAAGTTTGCTTGTTAGTTCTGTGTCTGTGTGGTTTGGAAACATCACAGATAAAGAAAAGAGAGCTTTAAACAAAGAGAGCTTCCTGTTCTGGAGGTTCTTTATAAATCCAGACTTTTAAACAAAGCTCTTAGGATTGTCAATGACTCTTCTGGCCACCCTGGAAAAGCCATGTTCCAGCTTCTTCCCTCTGGCAGAAGATATCGTTCTCTGAGATGCAGGACATCTCGTTACGCTAACAGTTTTTATCCACAAGCTGTTATCAGTGTGAACAGAGCACTTTAATGATTTGCACTTGTTTTGAAACTTGCCGATTGATTTCACAGTGACACTTATTTACTGTTTTATTTGTTTTATTTCTGTCTTTTAATGTTTTTTTGTGTCTGTATTTGTCTGTGCACACTGGAGACTTTTTGCTAATGTATTCCAATGTGGGTTTTTTTTACTGCAAATGGCAAATAAACTGAATCTGAATCTGAATCTATACAGGTGCGGCTTATATGTAAAAAAAATACTTTCTTTTAAAATGTTGCTGGTGCGGCTTATATACAGGTGCGCCTAATAGTCTAGAACAGCATCCCAAAAGTAACGAGGCCCCTTAAAAACTGACGGGTCTGCGGGTACGAATATACATTGTATACAAAATGTTGACACAAAATTTTATATTACAAACAAACATTATAATTACATAAATATTTATATTTTTTTTATTTTTTTTATGATTCAATTGTATGTCATTGTATGTGGTGTGAAAGGCAGGTACCCCAGCTTTATCCTAACACAGCACATATTCACACACAATAAACTCAGAGTGGCTAAAGTGACACTTGAAAGGATTTTGTCTATGGAAAAACAACTCTGTGCCCGTTTTCCCGCGGTCTTCCATCCAAGCACTAACCAAAAGTTACATTTAAAGCTCATTTCATTCTGAACACAGACCTCAGCTGATCCGGTTTGTTTTGTTCTCCTCTTCCTCTTCTTCCAAAAAACACAGCGATGTCGTTTGGGATATGGCTGTGTTCCTCTCGCTTCCTGCTTCTTGTCAAATCCTTCTCTGGTCTGTCTCCTGTGATCTGAGCCTGGGTTTTTATTCTGACAATGTTCAAAAACCCATGTGCAGCTCCGCTCTCAAACTATTGTGAGAGTTTCAAGTACTTTTGCTGCAGGAAATGTCATAATGCTGCTGCACTATGGAAAAAACAAACACAAACAACAAAAACTGGGACTTTTGGGTTTGCGGATCTAAATCTGCCCAAAAAGCAGCGATTGAAATTACAGCTAACTCTCATACTGTAGATTCTGCTGCAAAAATGATCAATCAATCAACTCTTATTTCATAAAGCACAGTTCATACAGAATGCAACCCAAAGTGCTTCTCGATGGCAATATTTAAAACTAGATTCAATTAGAACTTGAATGTAGCCAGGGCCAGCAGCCTGTCTCACACCTTCGGGAAGACGGTTCCAGATTCTAGGTGCATAGGTCTGGAACTCCTCGGAGTCCCAGCAGGAGACCAGTCCCTGTGCTCCCCACACTCGAGCCGGCTCATTTGGCACCAGCATGTTTCAGATGTACTTAGGTGATGAACTATGAGGTAATAATTGCTGTAATTTTGTGTTTTTTATCTTTATTTGAGAGAGACGAACCAGAGGAGCCACATTCTGACTGTTTTATAATAAGCCGTTTAGTTTATTTCAAGAACTGTAGCTTTATTTTCTCATTCCAAGGAAGACATTTTTTTATTTCTTTCATTTTCTTTTAAAACATGATAATTTTGCTCATTGTCCCATCGGCAAATCTTGTTTTAAGTCAGAATGTGCTCAAATCAAGACACATTTGGCCAAATTTTATAAATGTTTCCCTCACTTTTTGCCGTATGATTTTACGTTAGAGAATTTTCATTATCAAAGAAAAAGAGTGAAGCTAATGTTGCTAACTATGGCCTGCTCCAGCGGAACGTTGTGTCGACGCGGGACAGCAGTGGGAAAGGTGTGTGTGTTGTTTGGACCAGTGTTGACTAACCACCACCAGAACAACGATAAAATAGAGAGATGGAGCAGCCGCTTGGTTCGCACCATTTCCTCTTTTTTGGTTCAAAGTGAAATGCTTCAGTGGATTTTCACCTGATCCCCTTGGTTCGGACCATGAAACCTCTATGCTCTGGTCTGGACCAGTGTAAAACTATGAATCCTCTCTGCTCTGGTCTGGACCAGTGTAAAACCATGAATCCTCTATGCTCTGGTCTGGACCAGTGTAAAACCATGAATCCTCTATGCTCTGGTCTGGACCAGTGTAAAACCATGAATCCTCTATGCTCTGGTCTGGACCAGTGTAAAACCATGAATCCTCTATGCTCTGGTCTGGACCAGTGTAAAACCATGAATCCTCTATGCTCTGGTCTGGACCAGTGTAAAACCATGTACTAAAACATTTACAGGTAGAGAAAGCAGAAGAAAAAAAAATATTTTTTTTTTTTTTTATATATATATAATCATTTCCAGCACATTCAAAAGTCCATGCAATCAAAAAAGTAATAGTTTAAAAGCATATAAAAAGTGTCTGTTAAAAGCTTAAAATTCTGAATAAATATATTTTGAGTCTAGATTTAAAAAGAGCAAAAACAAATGTTGAACGGTAAAACAGAGCCAGACCATGGGACATAAACTCTGAGGTCTTCCTGTAATTATCAGATGCACAAACGTCCTTCAGGTGGGATCAGATTTGTCCTTGTTCCCATCGCAACCATCGGGGGGCGACGCTAAGCCGCACTCGCAGGTCACCGGGACCCTATCCCAGAAGGCACCTGGAGAGGAGCGGCCGAGCAGATGGAGGGAAAAGACAAAACGCTAACAACAGAAACAAGCTACAGCTTCAGCATGAGGCGAGGAGCTCAAAGAAGGCCAAGAGGGAAGTGCTCATGGACAAAGTTCATGAAATACTTTTGTCAAAACGGGATAAACAATACACAATAAGTATGCTGTTTGTTGTCAAAAATAATAAAAATAAAAATAATAGTAAAAGCCGGCGGGAGGTGATTGACAGATCAAAACAGTGAATCAGAGCGCGCAGCCAGTTCTCGAGTCCAGCTCCCGAGTCCAGAGTCTGTGGTCCGCGCACACCACATAGAGCTGCTGCTTTTCTACTTTTGTCAGCGACTAAAAGTGTTGGAATCACGTCAACTTGGATAACATGTGTTTTGGGTGTAAATATGTGACGCTCTATTTGGCCCGAAGAGGAAGAAAGCGGCTCGACTTTGTTCATCTGTTCATGTCATGGATCTATTATAATACCGGTTCATCTGCGACACTTCACTGAGACTGTTCCAGAACTACAGGGACAATGGAACTGGACTTACTCAAAAACTGATCTGAAAATATGTGTTATTCCCACGATAAAAGACGTAACACAGACCCCCGATCTGTAAGTAGTGACGCTAACTCGCTGTATACTTCTGTAAACTAAATAATTAGGGTCTGATTGTGCATCGAGGACATAGGGCTCGTTGGAAAAAGTTTATTCTTATGTCTGAAATGACTATGTACCGGAGATAAACGACAAGAGCGTGATGCTACGTCACCGTGAGGGCGGGGGGAGGCGGGCTCACAGGCAGAGGAGCAGACTCTTCTCTGGATCAGCTCGTTTGAGTCGAGGTGACGTCACCTCTGCACAAGAGATGGCTCTAATCTCACAAGTTTTGAGTGTTGTGTGGTGTATGACACACAATATTATCACACATGTGCATAGGATTGAGTGTGAAACATGAAGAAAAGCGTGATATACTGTAGGACCTTTAATTGGCAGAAGTTGAAATCCACGCTGGGCCCAGATTAGATTTTCTTTATCCATCTCTGAAAAAACATCATTGGCCTCAAAATGGCTACGCTTTAGAACAGATTCATCTCACCGAGAAGGAGGCAGATCCCTAAATCAACAGTTTTCTTCTAATCAGCGGCTCGCACAAGAGAAGGCCTGAAATCAGAAGGTAGAGACTTTGGAGAGACTTTGTTGGCTCCAAACTGGATCTGTCTAAAATCCAGGAGAGACGGACTCACTCTGCACATTATTCATCGTCAAAAGAAAGAAAATAATATGAGTTTATTCAGGGTTCAAGACTGCGGTCTACACCTTTCTATCT